GGAGAAGCACTGGGGAAGATAAGCGAGAGCCTAACGCCGCCCAACGGGACGATGATAAGCCCAAGGAGCCGCGGCCCTGGGCGCTCGCCAAGGACTGCAGAAAACCCTGCTCGGCAGAAACAGTTCCTCCAGGTGGGAAAGCGCGCGCCTCCCCCGCCAGGGCAGCGGCATGCACCGCGCGTTGCGCACTGCAAAAACCCGGCGCGATGCAGGCGTGCAGGGCCGTAAAGCGCAGCAAAGCTGGCGAAGCCCAGGCAAATGTGGCAAGGGTAACGTTTCCGCCCCAAATCCCGCAAAGCGCCGACCATTCACTAAAGGCCAATAGCTGCGTCAGAGGGCGCGGCGAGCGCTGCCAGCTGCTTAGTCCATCAATAGTTCACCTGCTTATGGGGTCTCCGACCACTGCTGCCTCATCTCCCCCTTCAGCAGCAGGGAAAAATATGAGAGCTACAAGCAACTGGTATGAGGCGGGAAGGCACCAGCACTGGCCCATATGGACAGAGAGCCACTTCGAAACGGGTAGAAAAAACAATTAGCATCTGCAGGTTTTAGACTATCCACAAAAGGGGGAAATCAGCAGCTGAGTGGCACTGAAAGACTGCGGGAGGGGGGCACAGAAGGAACTATTTTTCACACCGCTGAGGCTAACGCATAGCGCGTGCTCACCCTTCTCCGAGCAGAGCAACCACATCAGGGAACTACAGAGAGCTTCGCCTCAGGAAGGCAGGCACTAGAGCAGAAGCTGGGAGCAGGAAAGCCTGCAGGGTGGAAGGGGAAAGCTGGTGACCTGCAGAGCCCAGAGCTGGAGGCAACGGGATGGGATTTAGAGAGCCCCATAGCCACCCTCTGCCCGGGGAGTAACGGTCACTGCAGGGACTGCGCCCCTCGTTCATCAGCACCAAAAAGCTGTCTCTTGAGACCTCTCCCGGTGACCTGGACTCAAAATATTACGGGGAGGGAGAGCTGGGGTTTTCCAGCATGAATTCTGTGCAGTCTTCCTCAACTGCAGGAGTTTCTGGCTAAGACAGCCCTGGAGCTGTGCGTGTCCCTTTGCTTCGAGGCTCTTTTCCCACTCGCCACCCATCACCTTCCCGCTAGCGAGAGCCAGAGCTCTGCAGCCTGGAGAGGCTGGAGGCTGCCATCCGGTGACAGCCACCCCCTTTGATCTTCCGTTCGCTTTGTATAAAATAGGGAACACTCTTCATGTCCAGCGATCCTTCTCACCAAGACAATGCATGCTCCGTCTCGCTAAGGATCGCTGCCATCGCGAACAGAAACAAACAGAAGTTCCTGAGGTTCCTTAGCCCAAATTATTACTTCCTCCTTTGTTGTGATTCTGTAGCTGCCTGCAATTGCCCACCCCCAACTTAGGGTAGCCAGCATGGCACAGGGCACTGTCTTATGGTACGTGAGCCTTTAGCCTAACTTCTGCCTGGTCAATGAATGACACTGGTCCACTGTCCTAACCGCAGCTCCAGAACTGGGACAACTATACCCTGCCATCTGGCACTGGTGCTACTACCCCTCCAGAAGGCCTCCCACCACACAGGGAAGAGGGGGGCCCCTCGTTCAATGATACCTTCTGCCTATGGGATAAAACAGGAGCCAGCTGACAAGGGCATCCACCTCTGCAACTACCTACCACGTACCGGTAGCAGCAGGAGTCCCCAGATGGGAAATCTAAAGGTGGTATCTATCTCTGATGAAGATGAGATGGTGACTCATGGAAAGCAGCTCTGCAGAGAAGGACCTGGGAGTGCTGGCGAACAACAAACTGACCATGAGCCAGCAACGTGCCCTTGTGGCCAAGACGACCAGTGGGAACCTGGGCTGCATTAAGCAGAGTGTCGGCAGCAGGTGGAGGGAGGTGACCCTTCCCCTCTCCTCAGCCCTGGTGAAGCCACATCTGGAGTACTGTGTCCAATTCTGGGCTCCCCAGTACAAGAGAGACATGGCGCTACTGGAGAGAGTCCAGCGGAGGCCTACAAAGAGGATGAGGGGACTGGAGCATCTCTCCTCGGAAGAAAGGCTGGGAGAGCTGGGCCTGCTGAGCCTGCAGAAGAGGAGACTGAGAGGCGATCTCATCAATGTGTACAAGTATGTGAAGGGGGGGTGCCGAGAGGATGGGGCCAGACTCTCCTCTGTGGTGCCCAGCGACAGGACAAGAGGCAACGGGGGCAGAAACTGAACCGCAGGAAGTTCCATCTGAACACAAGGACAAACTTCTTCACTGTGAGGGTGATGGAGCACTGGAACAGGTTGCCCAGAGAGGTAGTGGAGTCTCCTTCCCTGGAGATATTCAAAACCCATCTGGATGTGACCCTGGGAAATAAGCTCTAGAGGACCCTGCTTGAGCAGGGGGGGCTGGACTAGATGATCTCCAGCGGTCCCTTCCAACCTCAACCATTCTGTGACTCCACTCTTGCTCTTGAAGCTATTTGGAGCCAGGCGGCCTTTAGGTGTCAGTGAAAACATGAGAAGATGTGAACAGTCACTACTGCATTTGGTACGCTCCGGCATCCACTACAGCACAACACAGATGACTACCTAGTGAAGCAGAACAAGACAACATCCCTTTTCAGAAACAAAAACTAAGCTCCCATCACTCCCATCCATCACTGGATATTCTCCAACAGCCTAAGCGTCCTCATTGGCATTATGAACTCACATTAAATACATACGCAGCCTTTTACTGTGGTATAACCTTCCTAAACGAATTCCAGTGACAGGAGAGACAGACGAAAAGGCTCACCCTCCAGTTCGCCCCGTGAACAGGAACTGCAGGCAGGCAGCAATCCAGTAAGACAGTAGCTGCAAGGACAGACAAGTCCTTTCTCCACTGAAGCTAATAGCAAGTCTTCCACTATCCAAATGGGTTGGTCCCCAGTGAATCAATGACTAGTAAGTCTTCTCTGCATAAGACAGCAAACCCTCCTCAGCAGATACCTCTGCAAATACAGATGCTGCAAAGCATCAGTTTTCCAGCAGCTCATGACACTGCAGCCTGTTAGGGAACAGTAAAAGCAGGAGACAGCTTTGCCACGGGCAGCAGAGAAAGAGAGGGGAAGCGCGGAGGTGAACTTCAGCACACTGGCCCCAGACAGACATATCTGCTACTTACAGCAGGGAGGTGAAGAAAGAACAAAGCGGCCCTGAGACAACAAGGTAAGCGGTAACAAGCCAACGGTACATTAAGCAAGGCAGGGCAGCAGGTCACAGAGCACCAAGGGGCAGACAACAATAAAGAAGGAAGCTGTCTGTGTTCAGTCACATCAAAAGATCCAGGACTAGACCAACCCAAAGAACTACTTGTGATAAAGAAACTATTCTTTATGTGACAGGTTTCATCTAAGCTCTTGAACCACGCTACATATCCGTGACACCTCTTGCTCTACCAGGAATGAGGGAAGGGAACTGGCTTCCCAGAATGGCAGAGAGAAAAAAAAAAAAAAAAAAAAAGACGACTTAGACTTCTTGAAAAGATAACGTGTATTGGTCAGACTGAATGACTTCCCCCTTTGCATTCTTACATCAGCTCATTAGGAGGAAAAGGTAGCTGTTTAAAACCAAACACAGACATGAAAGTTGGCTTAGGGGTCATGGGAAACCACCACAGGCCAAATACAATAAAGAGTCGTGAACTATTTCCCTTTCCAGGCAGAAGCAAGCTGGGACAGCCTCTCCAGGGATTGCCTCAGTGACTAGTGCGCTGGCCCAAGTGACTCCTTGCGTGACAGTCCAGCCAGCTCCTCTCCCAGACAGCAGCTTCCAGCACACCTCCCCTGAACACCAGCTCATTCGGATTTAACCAAGTGTACTTTTAAACTGATTTCATTAAGCCACTGAAAAGGCATTACAACTTAATTCAATCTCAATCTTAATCAATTCAATCTTAATTCAAATCTCTTGATTTATATTGCTTTGCACTGCACCAGTAAATTTACAAGTGCAAATTACAACCATAAAAAAAGTTTTAAAACAGTAAAGCATGTCCGTACAGGGCTTCAGCTCTTCTCCTAGCCAAGTCAGTGCAACTTCCGTGTTTAAGATAAAGCCTCAGCGTCCCCGCAAGTACCATGTCACATCCTTCAGCCCGCCTGCTTCACCCAAGCATTAACGCAAACACCCATGCAGAGGGACTGCAGCGTGTAGCCAAGGCTCAGTTCTCCCCCTCTACTTCCTTAAACCAACACGGTCGGTTCCCAGCTCTGAAGTAAGGATGGTCCCAGACACCCAAATTACAGCTATCTCACGAAGCCTTCAGACACAGTGAAAGGGTCTGATCCAACACAGAAGGTACCTTACAACTAGCCAGGGACACAATGGCCTTTTGCTTCAGTGCACAGGGGATAGTCCACCCAAAAAGACTCGAGAACGAAAAGCCACAAACTCATGTATACGTGTACCGTTAGAAAACATTTAATCTAGAATTTTAGAGTTTTAAAAAAATAATTTATTTACAAATAATTTTGGAACGTGTGGCCTGCTGAGTTTCCCAGCATCCAGCCTTCCCCTCCCTCTCGCCGTCCAACTGCCCTCTCACAAGCAGGGCAACCTTTTGTGCATGGTTTTGTCTATTTCTAGACACGTTCAGATGCGCTTAAAGGAAAAGAGGAATCAGCAGCTCGTTACAAGGAAAGAAATTTCAAACATGTGACAAAGCAAGATACTTCTTCCAAGTCCTTGTTCCCCCCCCCAGGGTAGACAGGCATCCGAAGGGCATGAACTGCTCAACGTGCTCCCAGCCTCCCCCTGATCACAGCCGTTTGCCATGCCGGGTTCTTGCTTCCTGACCAAAGCACGTCCTCGGCCAAGACGGGATCAGCAGCGTTTTTCCCACAGGCAGTGGGAACGGCCAATTTTGTTTACATTGAGGTATACTGCTCCCCTTCGTTCTTCAGTCTCTCTGCTCCGCAACAGGGGACCTTTCAACATTTGCATAGCAACATATTTTAGTCTTATTTAGCCTTTGAGGGCAGCCATACTCTCTGTTCTTGTTCACGCCCCAAGTTTTCAGCAAAAGCTCAGCCCATGAAACGTGCCTGCAGCCAACGCAATCTTTTTGGCAGCTGTTCCTTGCAAATCTCCTTTTTCCCTTTGGCCACGTGCTTGGCAGAGAGCTGGACCACAGAAGCCAAGTAAAGCGAGTTACCTAAATGTTGTCATAGGGAACCGCAAGACCAATGTTGTAGTTATAACCGGTCACTTCATCGTAGGAAGAGCGGCAAATAGGAAGGATGCTTTCTACAGCCAACTGCTCCGCTGAGAACTCGTAGGCATAGATGATTCCTCGATGCCTGGGCAAAACACAACCGGGACACCATACCGTTTTACCTTAATTATCAGCAGGAGAAACGAACAAAGTTAGTAAAATGAACAGTGAATGATTCACTTTACTAACGGTAGAGACATAACTATCATCTGCCGAAACATTTCTCATCTGTTCAGGAATAGCAAAGATGAGTACGTTGTAGCTTGACAGTTCAATTAGAAGTGCTAACAGTCATCTGAGAGGCAAATAGCAGAGCGTGGAGTTTAGATACCGGCAGTTTTCCTTTAGGAGGAAATACCATTATTGATATTTAAAGCAAGGAAAGAATTGCATTCCTTATCTTGCTTCAGTGCCATTTATATTCACTTGCCAAAAAAGAAATGCATTTTCCTGTGCTCAGAAGTAAATGAAGCGCCAATTCATCAATGGTTTTCAAAGGCTTACCTTTACATCGTTTTTACATGCTATACCTCTCCGTTACTGCTTCGGATCGTGACTCAGGTGCTTAGCGTGCCGTTTTTAAATATATATAAAGCTGACCTTTGCAATGCCAAAAACCTTACCCTTCAGAGCTGGCTTACTCACTTGCGGTGTGCAGTTAGGTCATCGTCCATGATGCTGGCGCCTCGGGGGGTTTTCTCATCAGGGATATTTGCAGTGATGAGGCTATGAGAATTAAACCATAAATAGCGGACTGGATGTCTGAAAAACAAACCGCAGTATAGGCTGAGACGCCACTTGCAACAGGCTCCGAGAAAATTTAAGTGCAGTAAAGGAATTATGCTTAGACAAGAATCATTTAATTCAGCACTCTGTCTACGGCTAGAGGCTCAGAAACTCTACCTTTGGCTCTTCTCCTCATAGCTGACACAGATAACCACAGTTTTTATCACCACCTAGTGGACTATTACCAGAACACACGTGGAGGCCAGAGAATATTTCAGACACTTGGCAGCACGGAGAGGCCACTAC